ATAAATAATCCTTTAGAAAAATAAATAATTGTTTTCTTTTTTCTTTAAAGATTCTTTTAGTTTTAAATAATCTCTGTACCCAACTTGGGGCTCAACTTACAATGCTGAGATCAAGAGTCGTATGCTCTACCAGCTGAGCCAGCCAAGCACCCCAATTCTGTTTTCTAAAAACAGCTTAAAATTCACATTGTCCCAATGTCAGCTGGAATATCACAGTTTGAATTTCTACTTGTTAGCACATCTGTATTATAATTTCATCCATATATTATCATATAATAGTGAACTCATTTACACTATTTAGCAGTCTTTACCAAATATATTGTGTTTTAATCCATATTTGCAAAGTTATTAAAGCATCTAAACTGGAAATATGCTTCATATCTGTATTTAGACTTGTTTTCTTAATTTATTTTATTTTATTTATTTATTTGACGGGGCCCGGGGGAGAGCACAAGCAGGTGGAGCTGCAGGCAGAGGGAGAGGGAGAAGCAGGCTCCCCACTGAGCAGGGAGCCCGATGAGGGGCTCGATCCCAGGACCCTGGGAGCATGACCTGAGCCAAAGGCAGACACTTAACTGACTGAGCCACCCAGGCATCCCTGTATTTAGACTATTTAGACTTTAAATGACTGAACTATAATGAGAAGCTATCATAGATGGATAGCTAGCCAGACTTTTGGTATGACCACTACTTTACCTTTTTAGTCCAGATGCCCAAGGCCGTTTTTTTTTTTAGTAAAAGTATAGACTATTATATTCAGAGGAATAGATTAAAAACTGTTCCCCTGGGCGCCTGGGTGGCTCAGTTGGTTGGACGACTGCCTTCGGCTCAGGTCATGATCCTGGAGTCCCGGGATCGAGTCCCACATCGGGCTCCCTGCTCGGCGGGGAGTCTGCTTCTCCCTCTGACCCTCTTCCCTCTCGTGCTCTCTATCTCTCATTCTCTCTCTCTCAAATAAATAAATAAAATCTTTAAAAAAAAAAAAACTGTTCCCCTCTTTTACTTTTTCTAATTTATTTATGTCAGAGAAGGTATTCCCTACAATATGGGGAAATTACTGTTTTTAGATAGTGGAGACAGAAATGTTTCTGAAAGTTCTTTCATTACATATTCTAGCTTATAAGATATTTCAAAGCCTTGCACATATACCACAGGGCAAAGGTTTTTGTTTGTTTTACATTTTATTTTGAAATAAATTCACAGAAGGTTGGAGAAATAGTACAAAGAGCCTCGTGTACCCTCCCCCCAACTTCCCCCAATGATAACATCTTGAGAAGCTGTTTTGCAATACCTTTTTGGTTTGTAGTACAAAACCAAGAAACTGACATTGGTACATTACTGTTAACTAGACTACAGACCTTATTCCATTTTCACCATTTTTTAAACCTACATTCATGTGAGTGAGATGTGCTGTGTGCAGGTAGTTCTATGCAGTTTTATGTGGGCAAGGTTTTAATGTGTATTTGCTGTTACCCGTGCATACTATAGCCAAAATGTTGGCTCTCTGTCCATCCTGTACCTTGCTAGTTGTGATCCATTTCTGCTATCACTTGTGATAGGCCTCTATACTATTACTGTTAGATCAGTGGTTCTCAACCAGAGGCAGTTTTGCTCCCTGTAGGACATTTGGAAATGTCTGGAGACATTTTTCATTGTCACAGCTTTCTGGATATGGTATACTACTGGCATTCAGTGGGTAGAGACCAGAGATGCTTCTTAAACATCCTATAATCGTAGGATATCTCCCCGCCCTCTGCATAACAAAGAGTTAATCTGTTTCCAGATGTCAGTAATGCTGAGGTTGAGAAACCCTGCTGTAAGAGGTGATTACTTTGGGGATCCTGGAGGCAGACACCTTAGGAATCTCTCCCTGGTGATTTGCTCTTTTGCATAGCCTCCCTCCCCTGCTTTGAAATTTTTTTCTCCTGATGTTTGGGAAAGAGAATTTTGTCTCCATTTCTAATGGCTTTCTCCCAACTTTTCCTTACAGGTTTTCAAAAATACCTGGCAACAAATCGGGAAATTAATTCCATAACTTTGTTGAAATGTTGCAAAAAGATGACTTCTGCATCCTAACCCTTGAATGACTCAAATTGGTGCCAGGTGGAGGATTCCCATCACCTTCTCTCAGAACAAAATCAGTTCATTCTGTTGTCTTAGTTTGTATATTTTCTGTGACTTGAAATAAACTTTGAACACAATTTTAGTATACTGCAAATTGATATACACCTTTTTGCTTTTAAAAGGCTGAACACCAAGGGTGAAACCTTAGATGTGTTTTCAACCCTTACCGCAGTATTGTACTTTAATGTTATATTGCCATAGTTCTGTTTTTCCTTTAAGTTAACCACTTATTCTTCTTGGTGATATTTGAGAATTTCTCAGAAGCAATGTTTTCTGGAACTTAGTTTTTGCTTTGTTTGCTTCCAGCAGGAATAATAAGATTTGCCCTTTGAGAACTTGCTAGAACTTCTGAGTTTACTGGGGGAAAATAGCCCCTGCTTAGAGCTATAAAATGGTCAGAAGGCCAACAAAGCAAAGAGCCTAGCAGAGCAGTGTATTTGGTTTAGGAAAAGCTAATGATCAAAATGCACTTTTTTTTATCAATAGCAGGTTTATTCACATGCATATTTCAGAGCTAAGACAAAAATGTTGTATTGGCACTGGTTCAAGTGTGTCAGCAACACAGGAGACTGTTAACATTTACCTGTCTGTTCTAAAACTCTTCAGGCTTGGTAGTCAACCTTAAAAGTTAGAGAAGCCACTAACTTTTCACATGTTCAGGATGAAGTAAAAACTAAATAGAAATCAAAGGAACAAATACATTTCATTCTGCCTTCTAGGTAATCACTAACTTAGAGCCTTCCTCCATAACCAAATTTATTCTGGGAAATTAAAACATAGAAAACCCTAAAACTTCTACATTCTTCTCATTTATTTTAAGAGGACCAAATGTAGATCACAAGCAGTCAGATTGCCCATTAGGCCTGCCCCTGTCTGCTTCCTTATAGATACATGTGATAGTAATTAGTGCCACTCGCTCTGACCTATGGCTCCTCCTGCCTAGTATTCTCTCTCTCATAGTGGCATTAAGGAGGAACATGATTTCTCTCCCATCAGGCCAACCTCAAGAGGTTAAGAGATGCCTTAATAATTAGTAAAGTTCCACTGGAACTATTCTTTGAACCTATTTATATTCTCAGAATCCTACCCTCTGGGTGAGGATTATGGTCAAGTGAATTAAAAGCCTGCCATAGGCTTAGAGAATGTAATAGCATATTGCTTACATGTCAAGCAAAATAATGCAATGATAATCAACTTTATGAGAGACATTGAAATTGAGGGATTTTCTATTCTGATATGTAAACATTTACTACGAAAAAAATTCGCTGAATAAGCTACTTCATATTACAACCTAGGAAGAAAGACGCCCAAAACAGCTGAGGAGCTTTCTGGGTATCCTGCTCATCCCCAATTCAGGCTTGGATGTTGATTATACATAGGATTTATTATTATCATTACCTTTTCTGCCTACTTCCATGAATATTCTAGGCCTTAACATGTTGATTTTAGCAGTAGTCCTATCTCAAGGTATTGATATAGTTAGACATTGAAAACTGAGAGTGAAGCCTTTCTCATTAGGAACTCATCATGTAAGTTTCAAGGAACACTAAGATTCCAAATCAAAATCAACGAAGATCAAATTATGTGGTCAGCAGTTGTCTAAGAGGAACCAAATCATCCAGGTTCCATTGTGCATTTTCCTAAAGCCTTATTAAATTTCATTTAGATTGTTGAAATCCAGGAAATCAGCAACAGCAGGGATATTCCAATCTGTTCTACAGAAATATCCATTACTATTTTTTCTGATGTCCAATTAAATGAAACACAATTAGTTGCCATGAGTTCATGACACCTTTGTTTTGTTCAGACTAGTTACTGAAAATGGATCTTACCAATCCTTCAAGTCATTCAGGTTTTTGGATAATTAGAAACAACCATCTATTCATTTTTGGTCACTTAATGGTAGAGAAATAGGTGCTATAATGCTAATTTAGTAGAAACATTCTTACAAATTTAATCGGTTGACTTGTTTTTGGGCACAATGAAGTATGGGTTTTTTCCCCCTCTTTTTTAAGGGCCCCCCCAGTCTTCGCTTCTACTGATCACTGTGATTACTAACATCCCAGAGCCAGGTGGATGGGAGAAATAAAAAGCATTTTGATAGGAGATAAGACATTTTGCTTATGTCATTAGGTGAATGATTCCTTAATAAATAGGGAAGAGCCGGAAAAATGGTGTCAAAGTTTTAAATTATCTTTTTTAAAAATGAAACGTTCGTAAACCACCTTAGTAAAAATGATGATTAAAGAGCCCCTGTTGACTAAGTCATCTTAAGATGGAGTTCGAGTTTTTGCAATTATTTCCAACAGAACCATGTAAGCTAATGATAATATATCTGACTTTCAATTATAATTTCAATTATAATTAGCATCGTTTCAAGATTTTCTTTCCCAAATGGGAAACCTAGATTAAGTAATAAGATTCATTCATTAAGCAAAGAGGAAAATCCTTCATTTCTTGACAAGCAAAAATAAGTAAAGCAGAAATTGCTATTCACACTGGATAAGACCATGTTTTAAATAACAGTAAGAATGTACATAGTGTTATATAGGGATGGGGTTCTTGGTGATTTTATGTTCATTGTTTTATTATTTATGCTTATGATTATGTTTTGTCATTAATTCTTCAATAAATTTTTTATTTAAAAATTCACCCTATTTACAAATCTTCTTTGAAGGTGAGAGGGAGGGGAAAATATGACCGAAGGCCGGGAGATTCCAAGTAACACTTGGAATCAACAATATCACCTGGGGTCAAGTCATTTAGCTGTCAACCATCTCGGCTCTCAGGCCTTGTTGCAGTCATGGCATTCCAGAAGGATTTACAGTTCTTTTCCCAAGAAAGGATCCATGGCTTTTGCAATTACCGTGGCCTCGTGAAGATCAGCGACATCCAAGTTGAATCCAATCAAAAAAGAGAGGCCAGGGAGCAGAAACTGAGAGGCATGTTACTGTCCTTAAAGGGCTGCCCAAACTTGATCAGATCAAGTAAGTTGTTGGGAGATTCAGAGGAGAGACTAAGATGCAGAGTAGCATCCTCGTTCCTGTAGTTCAGAAGTTTTCTTTGTTGAAGTAGAATTGAACCTTCCTGGGATCCAGACTGGAGTATTGGTGACAGCGTTTGCTTAGGCTCTTTGCCAGGGTCTGAGGACCACATAGGAAGACTCCCACCACAGACCTGCAGGAATCGAACAATTGAAAGGGCTAGAATCCAGTGAAAGGGGCTCTGTCAGTGAGGCTGGAGAAACTGCCTCCGCTAGACCTCTACTACTCCCAACAGCCCTGCCTATTGAGCTATTGACTCCCTCACATTCTTCATGGTAGTTTTCTCACCTTTTCTGCCTGCAAGCCCCCAACGCACTCTCAGCCCTTGTCACACTCTCTGTGGGCAGCCTTGCCTGTTCTGTCAAGAACAGAAACTTGGGAGACAACAGTGCAGGGTAGAAGTGAAGTGCTAGACCCTGGAGCCCAGCTATCTGGGTTGAAATACCAGCTCTGACACTTAACCCCAGCTGGGTGACTTCAGGCAAGTTTCTTTAACCTCTCTGTTTCAGGTTTCCCCCTTGTAAGACGGGGATCAAAATAGGCCCCACCTCACTGGGTTGTTTTGGGGTTTTAAACGAAAATGTATGTAAAGCAATTCGAAAAATGCCTGGCACATAGCAAGTTAGAGCCATCCACTGTGCATCTATCCCCACTCCAAAATTTCTCACACTGAAGAGGTGGTGAGCCTTCTTGCCAAGGATAATCTTTCTAACTGTGCTATGGGTCTTTTCCTTGAGGCGCCCCTCAAATCTACTTTTTAATTTCTAGATTTGCCTGTTCTGAACATTTCATATAAATGGAATCATACAGGGGCGCCTGGGGGGCTCAGTCGTTAAGCGTCTGCCTTTGGCTCAGGTCATGATCCCAGGGTCCTAGGATCGAGCCCCGCATCAGGCTCCCTGCTCGGCGTGGAGCCTGCTTCTCCCTCTTCCACTCCCCCTGCTTGTGCTCTCTGCTGCTCTCTCTCTCTGTCAAATAAATAAATAAAATCTTTTTTTAAGATTTTATTTATTTATTTGAGAGAGAGAGAATGAGAGATACAGAGCACGAGAGGGAAGAGGGTCAGAGGGAGAAGCAGACTCCCTGCCGAGCAGGAGCCTGATGTGGGACTTGATCCCAGGACTCCCAGATCATGACCTGAGCCGAAGGCAATCGCTTAACCAACTGAGCCACCCAGGCGCCCATAAATAAAATCTTTTAAAAAATGAAATAAAATAAATGGAGCCATACACTAGATGGCCTTTGGGGTCTGGTTCTTGAACTTAACATGCTATTTTTAAGGTTCATCTGTGTCATAGCATGTGTCAGTACTCCATTCCTTTTTTTACAGCTGAATAAGATCCCACCATGTGGATATACCATATGTTGTTTATCCCTTCATCTGCTGATGGATACTTGAGTTATTTCCACTTTTTGGCTATTCTGCATGCATTCATGTACAAGTTTTTGTGTGGAGAGCAAAGGCTGTTTTCAATTCTCCTGGGTATATACTTAGGAGCAAAATTGCTGGGTCAGGTGGTAACTCTATGTTTATCATTCTGAGGAAATGCCAGAGTTTTCCCAAAGTGCCGCACTGTTTCACATTCCCACAAGCAGTGTGGGAGGAACTCTCCTACAATTTCTCCACTTGTTCGCCAACTCTTATTGCCCATCTTTTTCTCTTTAAGATTTATTTATTGGGGTGCCTGGGTGGCTCAGTCGTTAAGCGTCTGCCTTTGGCTCAGGTCATGATCCCAGGGTCCTGGGATCGAGCCCCGCATCGGGCTCCCTACTCGGCGGGAAGCCTGTTTCTCCCTCTCCCACTCCCCCTGCTTGTGTTCCCTCTCTCACTGTGTCTCTCTCTGTCAAATAAATAAATAAAATCTGTTGTTAAAAAAGATTTATTTATTTATTATTTATTTATTTGAGAGAGAGAGCTCAGGCAGGGTGAGGGGCAGAGGAAGAAGCAGAGTCCTCGCTGAGCAGGGAGCCCGATGTGGGGCTCGATCCCAGGCCCCTGAAATCAAGACCTGAGCCAAAGACAGAAGCTTAACCAACTGACTGAGCCACCCAGGCACCCTTTATTGCCCATCTTTTACCATGGCCACCCTAGCCCTCTCCCCATTTTTGCATATTTACTTTATTCCTATCCACTGGCTCCTGTTCTGTCTATAAGTATGCTTAGATCATTGTTAAGTTAAATAAGCATTTTCTGGACCCTGCCACTCCTCCAGCATTGTTGACCACACTTCTCTAATATTTCCTCCCCTGGCTTCTGTGACACCATCTCTCCACATTCTCCTACTTCCTCCTTGGCTCATTTTTCTCCCTTCCCACACAATGTAAGCATTCCTCACTCTGTCCTCTGCCACCCTCTCTCCTGGCAATCTCATCCATTCTCACAACTTCAGCTATGGTCAGCTCAACACAATAATTAACATAATCTCTTTCGTTTAAATGCTGCTTTACTGTTTACACAGCATTTTTCATGTATGTATTGCTTAATGTTTACAACAATTCTGCAAGTGAGTAGAGAGGGCATTTACTAATATAACCCCCATTTCATAGATAAGAAATCGGAAGATCAGAGGACTTTCTAGCTCAAGGTCCCAGAAATGGAAAGTGTCAGAACTAGCATTAGGACCCAGGATCATCTGAATCTGAGTGACTAAATGTTCTCACCACTGCCTTCATGAAGCCTGCCCTGATCACCCCACGTGGGCATAGACTTTCCTTCCCTCCATGTCTACGTACTTGTTTCATAGAGTGCATCATTCTGTTTTGAGTTGACTGTATGCACCTCTTATTAAAATGTGTGCTCCTTGAGGGCAAGAACCATATTCTATTTCTCTTTCAACCTCCAAAACTTCTAGAATAGTGAGTGCTGAGCTTATAGAAGGTAAACCAATAATGTCTGTGGAATTGAACTGATCTTCAGCGGCCAACTTGTTCCAGGAACTTATCTAATGATCAGCTCAATCTCCTTCCCCTTGAAATGGCTGATTTCATGGCACCAGGTTTTCCTATATGCTCTAGCATATCTCAAAACTCTTCAGAAAGACAGAGGTCAGGTTATCAGTTAACTAGATAATACACTCCAAACCTTTCTTACTTTAAGTAGGGATTATTAAAGGCCAAAAACAATGCATTTGAATTTTTCCAGTTTTCCATTTTATTTGGTAATACTGATCAGAACTGAGTCCCCTTGCCTCACTGTTTGAATGGGGAATGTAGGGGCAGAAAACATCTTCTCATCCATTACAAGGTTATAACCCTTATTTGGCCAAAACCCCAGATGAAATTTTGTTCAGCTTGAAGCGAGAAGCTAAGAATGGTGCAAATAGTTTCTGCCCCCAGAGTGTTCAACATGCTGTAATAGCTTTCCTAAACCCTAACTCTGCAAACTCAACTAACTAGAGGAGGATACACTTACCTGGGGTGGGCATTAGCTATTGTAGAAAACTCATTGTCCCACATGGGTCTCCCAAAGGAGGTTTTCTGTTTCAGACCTGTCAGGATGTCAGTGGCCTTGTCAAAGTTTAATGCGGCGTGACCGGCCTGGATTCAAAGAAATAAAAGTTAGAAAAAGCAGATCCTGACAGCTGTCTCTTCCTTCAGCCACTTTTAAACTTGGGGGTGGGGGCGAGGGCAGGTAAGAAATCATTATTTCCTATCAGCACGCACGACCTTGTCTGACATTGATCTTGCATCTAACATGGGAATTAGTGTTTCAATCAATTGTTTGAACTCACTATGTTGCTGTCCCATCCGGTGAGGAAGAGACGGTAGTTTAGAAAATCCACTTTGCCTAATTCCTCCATCTCACGTTCCAGAGAAGCCAACAGGTCATTGAACCAGGCAAAGGCACCTGTCTCCCTACAGATCCAGTAGAAATAGATCTGGAACCAGCAAGAGAGAACATAGCCTTATTCAAGTGCCTTTAAGATGTCCATTGTGGTGACATGACTATTATATATACTCTATATTTGTTGGTCAAGTCTACGGGTGACCTGAAAAATCAGTTGGACAGAGCAGCATGAACGTCCAGAGTTCTCACGACTTCCCTTAAGAGAAAAGACTTCCAATATCATCTATGGTTCAAGGTGATTTTATTTTTTTTTATTTTTTTTAAAGATTTTATTTATTTATTTGACAGAGACAGAGAGAGACAGTGAGAGAGGGAACACAAGCAGGGGGAGTGGGAGAGGGAGAAGCAGGCTTCCCGCGGAGCAGGGAGCCCGATGCGGGGCTCGATCCCAGCACCCTGGGATCATGACCTGAGCCGAAGGCAGATGCTTAACGACCGAGCCACACAGGCGCCCCGGTTCAAGGTGATTTTAAACTCCAAATTGAGGGCACCTGGCTGGCTCAGTTGGTTAAGCGACTGCCTTCGGCTCAGGTCATGATCCTGGAGTCCTGGGATCGAGTCCCACATCGGGCTCCCTGCTCAGCAGGGAGTCTGCTTCTCCCTCTGACCCTCTTCCCTCTCGTGCTCTCTATCTCTCATTCTCTCTCTCTCAAATAAAAAAAATAAAAAAATCTTTAAAAAAATAAACTCCAAATTGAAAATGAAGACCCTGTTCCTATGATGAATCTTACAGAAATGAATGCCTTGGCAGAGAGAAGAGATCACTCACTCGTAGCTCCAGGGATCAGTTGTGAAGAGCTTAAGCCATGAAAGCAATGGACCCGTCAGTCCCAGACCAGATGGAAAGAAGTATGAGGGAGTTACCGTTTGTGTTTTAAGGTTGTGATCTGCACGCTGAAATTTGTACCAGATGGATTTTAAGATGGAAGCAAAGGGGGTGACCCCAATTCCTGCTCCGACCAACACAGCCACTTCATACTGGAAGACATCTTCACTGACAGTGCCAAAGGGACCATCCACCTCAATCCTGGTAGCAGACAGAAGACAATGGGCAAGTGAAGTCTCACCTCCAGCCCCTCAAACATCCCTCCCAGGACATAGCTGTCTCCATGGTTCGTGTAGTGCCTTTTTATCTTAATCATATTCGATTGCACCAGATTTAAGGTGTAACAAGGAATTGCTTTCTCCTTTCTGCCTGTCTGCCTCTGCTCTGGGTCTCAGCTGCTCTCAAGGACCCACCTGGGAATTTGTGACTGCTGCCGCTCAAAAGCCCTGATGAGATTTTCTGTCCAGTCCCCCGCTGCTCTGATATGAATAGAGAAGAAGTCTTCCTCTGGAGCAGAGGTCAGAGTAAAGGGATGCCACTCCAAATAAGAGATGGAGGGACAATTAACAAAAATATACTGTCCCACTTCCATGCTGAAGCCACGCTTGTTCATCTGCAATTCCAGAACTTTGGATGGGTGCATGACAACCTGCGAATGAAGCACAGAGGCCAAAGGAGGCAAACTCAAATGGTGACAAGGGGCAGGCAGATGAACTAAATCAGTAAAGCGGGAGGGCTGGCGACGGTGGTGAACTGCGAGCAGAAGTCCTTTCGAAAGGGGGCGCCAGTGACTTTGCCCAGACGGTGGGTGCACTATGGAATCGCAACTCAGCGTTATCAGGTTGCCTGATTCCTCAGTAGAAGATAGAAGGGCCATTTTTCTTTTACTGTGAAAGCCTCCCTCTGGATGTTTAAATGTCAGCAACCAATTCAACTTTCCAAGCAGTCAGTGTGTGGGCCAACCGAAGGATGTCTGTGGACTGGCCCAGGCCACCTGTTTGCAGCCTCTGACGAAGACCCATGCTGATGATTTCTGCCAAAACTTTTCCCCATAGTTCTGTCCAGCACTGGGGGAACTAAAGTATGTTGCCTCCAGCTCTTTTTTATTCCCTTCAGAGTGACAACATTACAATCTATTCCTATAATCAGGAAGAAAAGAACTCTTATGATAGCTAGAAGAAAGTACATATTCTTTTTCAAAAAAAAAACACCATTTTTTAAGATTTATTTATTTATTTTAATGGGGGAGGGCAGAGGGAGAGAGAGTCCTCAAGCAGACTTGGCCCTGAGTGTGGAGCCCAACGCAGGACTCCATCCCACAACCCTGAGATCAGGACCTGAGCCGAAACCAGAAGTCGAACGCTTAACCGACTTCATCACCCATGTGCCCCAAGTGCATATTCTTTTTTTTTTTTAAGATTGTATTTATTTATTTATTTGAGAGAGAGACAGACAGATAGTGACAGAGATAGTGAGAGAGAGCACAAGCCGGAAGGAGAGGGAGAAGCAGGCTCCCTGCTGAGCAGGGAGCCCAACATGGAGCTGGATCCCAGGACCCTGGGATCGTGACCTGAGCTGAAGGCAGACGCTTAACCGACTGAGACACCCAGGTGCCCTAAAGTGCATATTCTTTTTTAAAGGTTTTTTTTAAAGTAATCTCTACACCCCATGTGGAACTTGAACTCATGACCCCAACATCAAGAGTCACATGTTCCTCCCACTGAGTCAGCCAGGATCCCCAGAAAGTGCATATTCTTTACCTTGGTAATCACAACCTTCTGCTGCGAGCGGTAAAATCGGAGAATCCTTTCAAAGATATAAAGAACCCCTGGTGCAAGGATCCACTTCCAAGACTGCACAGAGAAACAATAAAGACTGAGGTTACATATTAATCTCCTGTTGAGGATTTATATGTGTAGCAGTTCATTTCTTCATTCAATAATATTTATCAAGTTCTCTGATGTGTATCATTATTAAGCCACTAATTTCACCAAATCTCACAGATGGAAATGGCAAGGAATAAATTATAATGGTTTTGTTTGCTAATCTGTTACTCATAAAGCAGATCACTTCCTGAAGTTTTACAAGTCTCACTAGGAAGCAAAGAAAAGCACAAAAATAAAATATGTGGTAATTATACATACAATGTATATTATATATAGTCTTAAATTATATATAAATTTTAATTTTAAGACTCCAAGACAGTCTTCCAGTACAATTCGTCCAAACTGAAAAACCAAGAGAGAAGCAGATGATTAAAAGGAAAACAAACTAACAAAGAAGGAAAAGCGCATGGCTGACACTATTGGTAACACTATATAAAACTTGGTATTTATCCATCACATTTTTTTCTCAAGTGCTCAAAACACCTAACATAGTACTATACTTTTTATCTTCTCTACATTTTTTTTTTAAAGCAGCCTTTCTATCCCTGAGATCCTCTCAAAGGTAGCAGGTTGCTTCAACATCCACAGGAGCTACTAAAAATGTATTTCCTAGCAATGCTAAGTCATGTCCTTTCTTGCAAAATTGCTTCAGCGTGAAACATCAGAACTGTGTGGAATGAGGTTTTTTATGCTGTTTCAGGCAAACAACTTCCTTGGGTATCTCCAGGGAGGCAAGGGGCAGAGATGCGGCAGGTGAACTTGAGAGTGGGTATTATACAATTTGATGCTTCTCCTGATTTGGAAAAAAATTCTCCATGTCTTCAGAGAAAACACACAAAAAATATATTTAAGAAATGGCTAATATCAATGTGGCAAAAAAATTTTTGACCTCAGAAGTAATCAGAGAAATGAATATTAAACCAAAATAGCACTTTAGCCTCTCAGATTGGAAAACAACATTAAACAATAATGCCCACCATTAACTGGGATGCAGGGAGATGGGCACATTCACATGTGCAGTCAGTGGAGGGACAAATTATTAGCATCTTCCCAGAGAGCAATTTGGTAATACATCCCAACAGCCTTAAAAGCATTCCTTCTATTTGACCCAGAAATTTCACTTCTAGGAAATGGAGCATAAAGATATAATTAAGGTGTGCACAAAGTATATGAGTATAGGAATGGCCCTATTATTTACTGAGAAAAAAATGACAAAAATGGTATACCACACAGATTTTTTTGCCAATACCCAACTGTCTTTTTTTAATTTTAATTTTTATTTCATTTTTTGTATTGAGATATAATTGACATATAGCATTACATTAGTTTCAGGTGTACACCATAATGATTCAATATTTGTATATATTGCAAAATGATCACAATAAGTATAGTTAATATCTGTCACCATACATCGTTGCAAAAATTTTTTTCTTGTGCTGAGACCTTTTAATATCTACTATCTTAGCACATTTCAAATGTGCAATACAGTATTATTAACTACAGTTGCCATGCTGTACATGACATACCCATGACTTATTTATTTTATAACTGGAAGTTTGTACCTTTTGACCACCTTCACTCATTTTGCCCACTCCCCACCCCCTGCCTCTGGAAACCACCAATATGTTCTCTGTATCTATGAGTTAGGTTCATTAAAGTAAGATTCTACATACAGTGAGATCATACAGTATCTGTCTTTTTCCATCTGACTTATTTCACTTTGCATAATGCCCTCAAGGTCATTAAAAATGATCACATTAAAAAATTGACAAAAATGGTATACCATAGAACTTTTTAAAAACAAATGTTTCCCTTTCGGCCGGAACCACCATCTTCCAGTAATTTGCCAAAATGACCAACACAAAGGGAAAGAGGAGAGGTACCTGCTATATGTTCTCTAGACCTTTTAGAAAGCATGGAGTTGTTCCTTTGGCCACATACATGCGAATCTATAAGAAAGGTGATATTGTGGACATCAAGGGAATGGGCACTGTTCAAAAAGAAATGCCCCACAAATGTTACCATGGCAAAACTGGAAGAGTCTACAATGTTACTCAGCATGCTGTTGGCATTGTTGTAAACAAACAAGTTAAGGGCAAGATTCTTGCCAAGAGAATTAATGTACGCATTGAGCATATTAAACACTCAAAGAGCCGAGACAGCTTCCTGAAGCGTGTGAAGGAAAATGATCAGAAAAAGAAGGAAGCCAAAGAGAAAGGTACTTGGGTTCAACTGAAGCGCCAGCCTGCCCCACCCAGAGAAGCACACTTTGTGAGAACTAATGGAAAGGAGCCTGAACTGCTGGAACCCATTCCCTATGAATTCATGGCATGATAAATGTAAAGAAAATAAAAGACCTCAAGACTGTAAAAAAAAAAAATGTTTCAGTGAAGCCACAGAAAGAGAAATTAAGAAAGCAACACCATTTACTATTACACCAAAAATAATAAAATAACTAAGAATAAAATTAACCAAAGAGGTGAAAGATTGTACTCTGAAAACCATAAAGCATTGATGAAAGAAATTGAAGACGACACAAAGAAATGGAAAGATATTCCATGCACATGGATTGAAAGACAAATACTGTTAAAATGTGTGTATGACCCATAGAAATCTGCAGATTTAATGCAATCCTTATCAAAATACCAACAGCATTTTTCACAGAACTAGAAAAATCCTAAAATTTATGTGGAACCACAGAAGACCCCAGTCAAAGCAATCTTGAAAAAGAAAAACAAAACTGGAGGTATCACAATTCCAGTCTTCAATTCCAGATATATGTTAGAAAGCTGTAGTAATCAAAACAGTATTAAAAAAATTAAATAAATAAATAAATAAAACAGTATGGTACTGGCACAAAAATAGACACATAGATTAATGGAACAGAATTTTAAAACCCAGAAATGAACCCACAACTGTATCATCAATTAATCTTCAACAAGGTAGGAAAGAATACCCAATGGGAAAAAGACCGACTCTCCGACAAATGGTGTTGGGAAAACCGGACAACAACATGCAAAAGAATGAAACTGGACCACTTTCTTTTTTTTTTTTAAAGATTTTATTTATTTATTTGAGAGAGAGAGAATGAGAGATAGAGAGCACAAGAGGGAAGAGGGTCAGAGGGAGAAG